TCTAAACAGTGAGCGTCCCAGCTCTGGCAATGGAGGGTAGAGACGAGACAGGGCTGTTTGTAAGAACCTATAAAGAATTCATTCTTTAGAGTCTGAGTAAAGAGGACAAGGAGGCCCCAAACAGAGGCCAATTTACAAGTTCCTCCACGTCTGTCCCCAAGCCGGAAACGCCCCGGGACCCTCTGCGTTATTCAACTGATTTTCCGACCACGCCAGCCCTGCACTCACTCCTGGCCCCATCCTCCCAGCCTCGGACAGACGCTGAAAAACTCACAGCCATAAAGTAACCACAGCTTTGGAAGAGAAGGCCCAGCCAGCACCAAAGACAAGGTTAATTTACGGCCTCTCTGAAACGCTCCCAGGAATCTCGGTGCGGCTACAAATTCAAGAGTCTCACCACTAAAGTGAAAGTGGGCGAGGGGACCTTCCAGCCAGGCAGGCGTCATGACAGATGGACCCCACAATGTCCAACCTTCCCACCATTCACCTCCTCTCAGCCCCATCTCGTTCCATCTGCACCTCCTCCCCGACCAGGTCAAACCCCCGGGGCAGGGGCCCACAGCCCAAGGTCTGTGAGGACAGGGACCATCTTGGCTGCTGGGACGGCCCTAGGCACAACGGCTGGACTAATCATCCCATGGTCCTGAAGCACCTTCTCCGTGGTTGTGGCCACTGTGTATTTTGGGTCCCTTCCACCCTGGGGGGCTCCTCTTACAGCCCTGTATCTGATGACGTTCTGTGTTATCCAGTGTTTTCACCAGACGTAGATGTCCAGGTCTTTCTTCCTAGTCTATCTGGGTCTGGAAGTTGCACTGAAACCTGTCCACCCCGGGTGACCTGCTGGGATTTAAAATAGTGGTGACGTAGCTTCCAGAATCACAGCAACACGTACACCACTACAATACGACAGCTAGCAGAATGAACCAGCCACCGAACAGGAGCGAAGTGGGATGAACTGAGCCCCCAGCCCTGGGACCCGGAGTCGGGGGGGAGAGGGGGGCTTCAGCACACACCCACAGACAGATGCCTGGGCAAGCCGCCAGGAGGGGACAGGGGCTTGAAACTGACAAGCAGTCAGCACTGGACACAGTCTGGACAGAAGAAAGGCAAGTCCCTTCACCTCAGGCCAGCAGAGTGGTCCAGGGGACAAAGGGGTAGTTACACCCACCCGGCTTCATCTGCCACTCTAGGTTCATGGTGTCCCCAGAAGGACCCTGGACCCTTTCTTGGAATGGGGTCTCTGAAGATGCGGTCAGTTTGGTTCATGGGGGCTCACACTGCAATGGCTACTCATGTCCCTTAAGAGTTGTGTCTTAGAAAAGGGAAACTGAGTGCAAACCAGCCCACTGCAAACCACCCTATAGAGGGTTTCCGAGACTGTCGGTCTGAGTGCCTCCGCCTCCATCAGAAAAGAGGAGAGGACAGAAACACAGACGTATCCGTAAGCAGTAAAGGCCACCCAGGAGGCCCGACCAGGAGGCCCGACGCAGACTCAGGCCTGGTTCTGCTCTCCAGGGCTCCCACTGGCAACCTCAGGACTCAAGCACAGGTCTGCTCCCCATCCCGTCCCTGTCCCCGTCCTATGGTCTCATGCCTTCAAGCTGGCTGACCCACAGGATGCTACATCCTGAGTTCTCACTGGGGGCCACCAGGTCCCCACTTCCAGAACAGGAGCCCACACTGCCCTGAGCAAATGAGTGATGGAGGGGCAGCACCGAGAACCACCATCCACCTGCCACACAGGGACCTTGGCCTGGCATCTAGGGTCCACGGAGAGCCCCCTGCCCGCCCTCCCCCGGATCCCACACACCTGCAAATCCTACCTCCAGACCTCACTCAATCCTCTCAACCCCCACCCAGGGCATCCTTCGGGTCTCCCACGTTCTCACCACTCCATCTTTAGGCCCCGCCCCAGCACCACCGCCACCAGTCCTCTTGGTTCCCCTTCCTTGGCACCTGCAAGGCCCCGTCCACTTCCTCTCTCCCCACTGGGCAGCTCCGAGCGCCACCTCCAGGCTGCTGGGGGAGGAGGGCACATGGAGACCCCTGCCCTGTTCCCAGAGAATCTGGTGTCACCCCCACATATACTGGGGGAGGGAGCTGGAGCTGCTGCTGACAAAGCCTCAGCTCAGAGAAACCTCACACTCAAACCAGGGAAGAGTGTGGACAACGTGCCCTGAACTCTCCGTCTTTAGTGTCCCCCAACCTTGAAGGCAGGTGTGGAACATGAGGGAGAGAAAATGGGAGGGTCAGAGACATAGACAGAGAAGAGACAGCAGGTACTGTACTGTCCGAGCATACAGCTGGCCAAGCTGGTCTGGTGACCCGCACGCAGTCAGCTGACTTGCACATCCAGGTTGAGGCCTCAGCACAATGGTGAACCGGCTGAAAATGAGCACCCTCCTCACACCCTTGTAGGTGACAGGGACCCAGGACCTGGCTAAAGCCAGCATGCCTGGAATCCCTCCATCTCCAGCTCAGTGAATAACTTCACACACCAGACACAGGGACAGGGCTCAAACTTCAGGCAGCCCCTCGCAGAACACTGCCCAGGACACTGTACAGGACCACACACATCCCAAAAAGGCACGTCTCCCTGATACGCTTGAATCTTGAAAAGCACCCAACACCACAAAGCACACCCCTCTGACTACCTTCCCACATCAGCATCGGGAAATGCTCAAAAGATGTCTCAGGCTGGCAGCGTCCACTAGCTTCAATCTGGGTCAAAATCAGGTCAGAACAGAGATGGGGACATGGAGAGGGGGAGTGGCTGAGGACTCTAGATTCATGGGAAGAGAGAGACTGAGAGCTGGCAGCTGGGAGACAGACTTGCACAATGTGCCCTTTGGTGGTTTAAATTAGTACATATGTCTCAGTGTTTTAAAAAAAAAAGCTAAAGTGAATAGAGAGAAATACTGTTAACTGATAGTACATGGAGGGGATTGTAATCATTGTAATGAAACAAGCTGTGTGATTTGTTGAATGTAAAACTGATGATCTGCACTGTAAACTTTCACTTAATTCACAATAAAAACTTTATTTAAAAAAACATCAGACCAGAAGTGTCCGACCTGCAGCAGAGGCCAAGGGTGGGGGACAGTGTACCTTTCTGAGCCCCAGCCTGCAGTGCATCGAGTGGGGGGAAAACAGCAGATGAACCCGGCTGCACTTGAAGCTTCTGCCCTCTCAAGTCACTGCTCCTGGCTCCTGAGAGCAGGAGACTCAATTATTAAAGCGCTGAACCGGAGGACCATCTGCTCCCCATCTCCTCTACTTATCCTTCCAGAGAATGGGGAGCTGGGGGGGCAGCCCAAGTTCAGGCCTCCTCCCAGCTCCCCAGATGATAACAGGAAGGACCACCTCTGATCAAACCTCTCCGGTCTGCTCCCATCCTTTGGTGGAGATCCCCAAAGACTCTCTCCCTGGGGGTGACTCCATATCACTCTTCCCAGGAGCCGGGGTTCTGAGGGGTTTGTGTCCTGTTGTCCCCAGAGCCTCCAACTCCGCAGACATCCTGCCACTCGCCCTTCACAAGCCCACCCCTCTCTCCACATCTGTCCCCAATGACTCAACCCAGACACTGCCCCACAGGGAGTAGCTCCCCATGTCCCAGCTATGAGAGCCCAAGCCTTACCTCAAATGCACCCCCTTGCAGGGACTGGGTCTGGCTGGGTGCCCCCCTGTTGGCAGAAGGTCCCCATATCACATATCACTCCCCCCATAAAACTGAAATGACAAAGGCTGGGAAGGAGCTGCATGACCTCAGCAGGCACTCGGGGTGCGTACTGTTCACGCTCATTTGTTCTCGGGAGCCACAGCTGTGCCTCTGGGCCTAGGGGGTAGGGGAGAGCTGGGCCCAGGCCCCCAGTGCACCCTGGAATAGGATCCCTCTCAAGACAAAGATGGGGAGCTGGGCACCTGCTTGTCCCATCAGCTTCCTTGCCCCCACCCCTACCTACTGTCTCCAGTCTGAACCCCCATCCTCCATGGTCAGTCTCCCCAAAGATGGTCCAGCAGCACAGGGTGGGGGTGGGGTGTGAGCACTCCCAGACCCAGAACTTGGGGAGCAATGGTCACTAAAGAAGGCGTAGGGTTCAGTCCCTGGGGGTGCCCAGCGGATGGTAAGGGGAGGGTGGGAGCTTCAAATCTCCCATCCACAGAGATGTGTCCTGAGGGGAGCAGCCGGCTGGGGACCTACAGCTGCCCCTCCCTCCAACAGTCTCTGTCTCAGACCTACAAGGCTCCTGTGACCAAGCCCAAAGACAGGATGAGGGAGACTGAGGCAGCCTCTAAGAAAGTATATTTGGGGATCCCCATACCCTGATGTCATCATGGAAGGAGGGGTGGGGCAGACAAGCCGGGAAGGAGCCCCGAGCTGGTGCCTCGAGGCCCCAACAGAAGTGGCCAGCAGGGAGGTGGCCAACTTCCAGCTGGAGCGATGCCAAAGTGGCCGGGAAGATGGGGGGAGGGCAGGGAGTTTCCGTTGTGCAGGGAGTCCCGAGAAAGGTTGGCGCATCCCGAGGCTCCAAGACACACCAAGGGGACCTGGGAAAGGGGGAGACCTAATGCCAGGGGTCCAGAATCGGTCGCGAGCTAATGGGGTAGTCCCGGAGCCCGCGGAGACACAGAGGTCCGGGTTAGACTAGGTGGGGAGGGTCCTGGAGCCTCAAAACCCGAACGCAACAAGCAGGCCAGGCGTTGTCTGGGTGCACACGAAGAGCAATGCCGAGTTGGGGGAGCACCGATGACGAGTCCCGAGCCTCTGGGGATCTCCTTGTAACCTGAACCCCGGAGGCCAGTGGGGCGCCCCCAGGCGGCTCCGGTCCAAGAATCGGTGCATTGGTCCCCAGGTGAGGTGGCGCTCACCCTCCTGGGGACTCCCGGGGAGCCGGTGACTGGCGAGGTGGTTGCATCCCAAAGTGGCCGGGGACATCCGGAGTGGACTGGGGGTCCGGAAGTGGGGTCCCCAGGTATCGCGGGTTGCGCGGGGTACTTACACTGCTGTTCTCGCCGGTCCAGTGCACCATCGCCTGGTTGTGCGTCGCGTCCCCCTTGAGCACGAACGACGTGCTGATGAGCGAGACCTGCGCCCGCGAAGCCGCCCCGGCTCCCGGCGCCGCCCGCGCACGGCGCCCCCGGCCGGGAGTGGGACCCGGACCCGGGC